TATATATATATATATATATATATATATATATATATATATATATATATATATATATATATATATATATATATATATATATATATAAATATACATTAATTTCCACACGTATTTGGAAAGTTCCGTGTCATATTCGTATGTTATGTTCTTAAACGATTTCATGTGGTTCCGACGTCTCACTTTGAAATCGTTTGCCGTCATTCCGATGTATTCCGTCGTTTCGCGATCTTCCTTTGTTTTTATCACTGCCTTGTAGACTATACCCTTCGTTAAACACTTTTTCTGGAGTGGGCATTCACTAACATTCTTGGTAAAAGGAGGGATGAACCAGATGATGCTTCTTTGACGTTTACGTTTTTGGGCTGTAGTTGTTGGAGGTTTATCAGGGGAATATTCAAGCTTGCCGTTGTAATTACTCTTATGCAGAGCTGCTTCATATACGTTGGCCACGGAGTCAAAGGCTAGTCAACATTTTGAGGTAAGACAATTATTTCTGCTCTATCTATATGATATCGAAAACTCTTTGGCATTTTGTAAACCAAACCACATTTGAATGCCTTTTCAATTGCACATATGCTGAACCGTGGTGCGTGAAATATTGATGGAGTGCATATATTAGAAAAAGTAGACCTTTAGAAATCAACCATTGTTATAATTTGAATCCTGGAGCACTTTGTTAAGCCCACGAGTGTGTAACATGCGATCTACGTACAGTATACATGGCATTATTTCAATTTCTAAAGGTCTCCTTTTTCTAATATATGCACCCCATCAATATTTCACGCACTACGGTTTAGCATATGTGCAATTTGAATGCCTTTTCAATTGCACATATGCTGAACCGTGGTGCGTGAAATATTGATAGAGTGCATATATTAGAAAAAGTAGACCTTTAGAAATCAACCATTGTTATAATTTGAATCCTGGAGCACTTTGTTAAGCCCACGAGTGTGTAACATGCGATCTACGTACAGTATACATGGCATTATTTCAATTTCTAAAGGTCTCCTTTTTCTAATATATGCACCCCATCAATATTTCACGCACTACGGTTTAGCATATGTGCAATTTGAATGCCTTTTCAATTGCACATATGCTGAACCGTGGTGCGTGAAATATTGATAGAGTGCATATATTAGAAAAAGTAGACCTTTAGAAATCAACCATTGTTATAATTTGAATCCTGGAGCACTTTGTTAAGCCCACGAGTGTGTAACATGCGATCTACGTACAGTATACATGGCATTATTTCAATTTCTAAAGGTCTCCTTTTTCTAATATATGCACCCCATCAATATTTCACGCACTACGGTTTAGCATATGTGCAATTTGAATGCCTTTTCAATTGCACATATGCTGAACCGTGGTGCGTGAAATATTGATAGAGTGCATATATTAGAAAAAGTAGACCTTTAGAAATCAACCATTGTTATAATTTGAATCCTGGAGCACTTTGTTAAGCCCACGAGTGTGTAACATGCGATCTACGTACAGTATACATGGCATTATTTCAATTTCTAAAGGTCTCCTTTTTCTAATATATGCACCCCATCAATATTTCACGCACTACGGTTTAGCATATGTGCAATTGAAAAGGCATTCAAATTTTAACAATATGCTTGATTTCTAAAGGTCTCCTTTTTTTTATACATCCTGTATATATATCTATATATATATATATATATATATATATATCTATATCTATATATCTATATATATATCTATATATAT